TTTTTTGAGTGACAGGCTAACACTTCAGTGCAGTCTTACAATCAGGCTTACATTAAACTACTATAGGTCTCATACTGTTTTTTAATGGGCAGAAATCCAATTCAAGGTTGGTTTCCTGTAGGATTTTTGCTTCATGCTGTCTGCACCCCAGCCTTAATAGTTGTTTCAAAGCTAGATGCCGGAGCTGGAGTCCCAGTTTCCAGTATTGTGAGGTTAATGAAGCTTAAAGGTGCGTTTTTCTCTGCTGAAAGACTTGTGTGCACAAATATAACAGTTCTGAAAGACTTCGTCTATTGACACACTAGGCTTTCATAGCCAGTGGCACTTTGCTTTTTGGAGGCAATGGCCTCTGCTTTACAGACTGTTCTTGGCACCAATAAAGCTAAGCCTTGAAAAATATTGCCTTTGGCAAGGGTGATATCAGTGTTTTATCAGAGAAAGAACACAGCTGACAAAAACCTGCCTTGTCCAATTCAGAGAGAATTATAAACTACTTATGAACACTAGCGGATAGTTCCTCATTGATAAACCACATAAATCTGGGCAAGAGTATTTCTCTGGAGAGGATCCTACTAGATCACGATCATTCCCTTTAGAAAACACTGCAATTAATTTGAGCTTGGAACTAATTGATTTTGGTGAAACTTAAAACCATAGCCATCCTTTAAAGTGCTTTGAAAAGGAAGCAGTCCTGCCCAGGAAGGAGAGATTCAAACTGACCCAAAGGCTGAAGAGCAAACAAGACTGCACACAGATTTGAAAAAAAAGAAAATGGAGTATTTCTGCAAAGCTTTTGGCTGCTTTCTCTTCCCTGTAATGTATGGAAGAGAGGCAATGAGAAAGGAGCCAATAAATACTGTGGCAGTCAAAAAAAGCACAAAGGGGAAATATTTTGCATTTGGTGAAAATATGTAAATATGCTGTAATATGCAGCAGATGTCTGTCAGCAAACACAAACACCTCGAATGTGTCTCTCATTAATGCTGTGCTCTACACAAAAAAGATAGAGAATATAAATCCAGCAGAATCCAGGCAAAAAATCCTTACAGTTTAAACTAGCTCAGTTTGTTTCCATTTCTCTGATGCCACTCCCTCACTAATAACACTGTGCAATACTGAAAGGTTGGCCCCCAAGCAGCAAAATCCAAATGCAGATTTTAAATCCTGTGTCCCATCAATACAGCTGCATTTTACCAAACCTGTAAACAGATAACTGGACACAGCTGATTAAAAGCCAGCTTTTGTCTGGCACAGAGATGACAGTAGCAGGGTGCAGAGCCCAGGGCATATCAGCCTGTGCAAGGCCTGGGTGTGGCAGTGAGGGTGGTCGGCGAGCAGCTGGACGCTAAGCCAGCCCGGCTCTGTGGGTCCGTCCCAAAGTGCAGCGCCCAGGGCAGTTGCCCCAATTCACCCCCAACCTGGAGATGGCCGTGATCTGGCAGCACCCAGCTGATAAGAAGCAAATCATATCCTGCTGCTGCCCTTACTAGAAGCCCCGACTGCTTTCACTATGGAGAGACATTCCCGACAGTCTCTCTGTTGCTGGTAATCATCTTTCCTCTTCCTAAACCTCTGTGCTGTTGGTTACTTCACAGTGAACTTTTCTATGTTATATGGGGTGCCAGGCTATGCATCTCACTTTGGAAGATTTACTCTTCTAATCCAATGACTTTCCTGGCTATATCACCGAAAAGGCACTTTGCCACCTGAAAATGTTCAGTATTTTATCTTGTGAGATGCATGGCTCAGCATATTACCTGGATACCCTGAAATTGTAAACGCAGGGACCACATTATTTATCACCCAGTATCTTGGGGAAAGATGTCCAAAGAGGTACTGAGAATGTCGTTGTTACTGAAACTAGCTGCTCTTAAAAGAAGGCCAGCGTCCAACCTGAGACAGCCAAACAAACGTTCCTACCCAAAGCAAAGACTCACAGATTTCATAGACGTTAGGGCTGGAAGTGACCTTGGAAGATCATTGAGTCCAGCCCCTGCCCAAAGGGCAGGAAGTCAGCAGGGGTCATAGGATCCCAGCAAGATAGACTTCCAAACGTCTCTTGAAGGCATTCAAGGTAGGTGCTTGAACTATCTCTGGTGGCAGTCCGTTCCTTGGGGACTCAGACAGTAAAGAACTTTTTCCTCAGGAAAAGGACTCTGCTGGGGCACTATTTTGGGCCAGGTGCATGTGAAAGAGCACTCAGGTGGGGAAGCAGGGGTCAAAAACAGTTTGGGAAGAAAGCCTGACACAGACTGACGCAGCACTTGTCTGTGGCCGCAGAGAAGCATTGGCTGAAAGACTGGATTCTTTGAATCCTGGGTAGTGCTGCTGGACAGTCCCATCAGATACAAGTGGTGTCTGGCAGCGCAGTAAATTACTGCGCTTAAATGCACATGTACACAGTGATGTTGCGATTAGTTTACCCTGGTTCAAACTGAGCCAGAATATATTCAGTCGCATTAACTGCATACGTCGAGGTTCAAAGAGAAAGGGGATAGATTTGGAGAATGGTGAGGCACTGGCACATGATAATCACTTTCTTTCATGCGGAGATGAAGAATGAATGATTTTCATAGAAAATGTCATGGAGCTCATTATTACTAGTAAGCACAAGAGCAACCATGCCAGATTAGAAAAGTGGTCCATCTAGTTCAGCCTCCCATCTCCAACAGTGGCTTATAACAGGTACTTTGGAAGAAGGTGCAGGAATTTCCAAAGGGAACAACTATGGAGTAAGTGGCCAAGTCTACACGTGCGCTTTAGGCTAGGGATGGAAGTTTCACATAAATTGGTTTAAGTCATCAGAAACTGGTTTAAACCTGTAATAGAACATAAGTTCAGTGCACATAAACCAGTTTAAAAATGGATGAAAATGGTATAATATAAACCTGGCTGAATGTAGTATCAGACTTAACTGATTTGAGTCAAACCTGTTTATGAAACTTCTGTCCCAGATCCCTTCCTGGTTCAAGGTAAATCACAGTCCCCCACCATACTTGCCAGCCCTGGACTGGTCTGTCTGCTCCAGCAGAGAAGGGGGGGTGGGGAAGGGGAAAGGTGGGGACTGACACCCCCCCCCCCAGCAAACCCTTGCTAGGGTCTGGGGCCAGGGAGGGGTGTTAAACTTCCCTTCACCCAAGT